TCACCTGGTCTGGCATAAAGGGGTTGGAAGTGCTTAGGAAGGGAAAATAATAATAATTATCCTCTGTGTTTAATTGTGACTGTAAGTTACTAACAATCGCTTTAGGGAACAAGAAAAGCTTTTTGCTGGGTAAATCAGGCATTCTGATTCTATTCTAGAATTTGCAGCATTTTCTACTCATGGTTTTTTAATTCTAAAGATCTGGATGCATCAGGTGCACAGAACACGGAACTCAGAGGTGAATGTTGAATCAGCTTTCCACTGCAGGGAGTGTTGGTGCAGCACTGGTGGGGCACAGAGAGCTGATTCCAGACCTGTCTGTTAGTGAAGGGATCTCAGGTCAGTGCATGGAGTGTTCTGTGTGAGCTCAAATGTTTGATTTCTAAGCAGGGTGGCTTAGACATAATTCATTGTTATTGCATAGCTAAGGGCAGGCTTTTGCACACACTGAGACAAAGTTCCATCATACACTGGGATTCATCATCCACCCTCAAGCACAAACAGTTTGGTTTGCTCTTTACCCCTCCCCATGCACATGTATTCACATACACTGACCTCAGACCACTGGGGGCTGCCAGGCCTGGTGGGATTCTTAAGGAAAATCATGGTTTTTCCCACAAGCCACCTTGATTTGAACCCAGCATCTTCAAACTATGAAAACGTGCCTGTCCATCACCTGAACAATGGAGTTACTTACTGACCAATAGCTGGCAGATGTGCAAACAAGCTCTCAGTGCATTTACTGTGTCCCCCAGTCTCTCCAAACGCTGCTTTCCATGGACTGCTACCTGGAGAACAATGCCAGGCAAACTGCACATCTTTAGAGCAGAAAAAGTAATCTGCAAGAGGCCAGCTACAGACTTGCCAGCTCAAGACAAGGGGAACAGGTAATTTTCCATGCAGTGAACAACAGCAGTGCAAGTTGTAGGTGTGCATCTATATCAGTCCTACTGAAGGTAAACTCTGATGGCATTTTCCACGAGTTGAGCAGCTTTGTGCAACTTTCTCCCTTAGAGAAAATGAATAAATATCCAATATATGCACTGCTGGATTTTTTGAGGGTTTTGATCTCAAACGCTCCTCCTTATTTTATTTCTCTCTCTATCTTTCCAGATAATGAAGTTGGGTATAAATTAAAAATTGGTAGCTGTTAACTACAGAAAACAGGTCTTGCTTGTGCTGTGGTACCTGAAATGGAACAGACAGCACAAAGCCCAATCCTCAGCTTTTCAAATCCCAGCAAAGACCACTCAGAAAACAAAGAGTGAGTGGAAATGTGAAGTAATAAGTATTTAACAGTGTTTAGACACCAGCAGCATTTTGCTCTGATTTGAGACTGGAATGCTTTCAGCAGGCAGAGTTTGGAGCTGTTCTTTTTCAAGGGCAGGGAGAAGAGTTTTTCTAAGCTATTAAATCAGAAAACTGAGCTCCCCAGGCACAGAGAACGAGATCAGATGTGTCCAACAACCCTTCCTCACATGTGCTGTCCCCATCAAAGGAAGAGGAGGCCCAACCTGCCAAGCAAATGTTTTATATTGAGCTGGAGGGTTCCAAATGTCTCACAACAGTGTCAGATAAACAAAAGGAGACACGAGAAGGTGACAGGGAAGCTCTCACTCAAGTGTTGCCCCTGTTTCGAAGATGAGTGACAGACAAAGAATCTTCCCCCACTTAACAACAACAAGAAAGCTCAGACTGCTCCAGGCAGAGAGTTGTGTGAAATATCAATGTTGTGTAAAATCTTTTCGAGGATAAAGTACAGATTTGTGTCTGAAGAAAAAACCCAATCAAAACAGCACAAATTATGCTTCCAATTGTAACTTTTGATAAGAAAATCAATCCCACAGTAATAACATTTCAATAATTTAATTAAATATTAGGCTTCACTGACCACAGAGATTGCCCACTGATCAGTTTAATTTCTTTTCTGCTAGAAACAGTTGTATCAGATAACTATTGATTGGCCAGTTGTAATTCCTGTAATGAATGTGACAAATATGCATTTCCCTTAATGCAAAGTGACTATAAAACAAATCTCCCCAGGAGAACCATGAGATGGCAGAACCAGAAGAAAGAGGGAAAACCACCAGAATACCCTTTTTTTTTCTGTTTTGGAGATTGATTTGTGATACAGCTGAACAGTTGAAATGGGGTTCTGTGCCATGGGTGGGCTGGTGGAGGTCCCTTGGAGGCTGGGAAGGACCACCAGGGGCTGTTGTTGCCCCTCTGCCCTGACAGCAGGTCAGTAAGACCCATCCACTGAAATCAGAAATACAGTGGTGTTCACTCCAACAAGTTTCCAAGGCCAAGAGGCATCAGCAGAGCACAGACATGAGCACTAAGAGAATATCTATTTTGATGGATCTACAGCCTGACATTGGGAAAGTTGCTGCACACATTTCCATGGGGGTCTTTTTTTGATTTTTTTAAGTAATCGGGTTATGGAGAAGTCAGCCAGGGCAGATCCCACAGCCCCATCAGAACCTGGGCCTAAACAGGAAGCCTGTAAAGGTGGACTTGAATCAAACCCCTTTTTTATGTATCACTGAACAAATGGACTTGTTTCTTTGGATGGCTGTAACAATTTTCCTAACTTTAAAAGTATTCCTAGCACTTCCCTATTATTTTAAGCCCACTCACTTCAATAAGGTTCCTGCTAAACCCACTGAAGACAGAATTCAGACATCAGTGCCACTGTCCTTGCTCTGTAAATCAGCAAATTTCCCTCTCTACTAAAAGTGAGATTTCACAGTCAATTTAAGCTGATCTAAGACTGCTCTGCTCCTGAACAGGGCAATCCAACTTCCTTTTATCTCCAGCTGCGTGTTCCCACCACTTCCCTTGTGTGGGCTCTAGAGATCATCCAGCCACAGGATAAACAAGATCAGCTCACTGATCCTGCTGAAAACTAACACTGAAAATACCTCGTTTGCAGCCAGTTTCTGAAGAGTTGCAAACACCCCTCTCTCTGACAATCTGCAGTTGACCCTCACATAATTTGTTTGTGAAACCTCAGCATTAGAGAGAAGGGGGGGAAAAATAATAAAAAACTGGCAGTGTGTTACAGGCAACTGCAATGTTTTAAAAGACCAATTTTTATTCCACTTTAGAAAACACCCCAGTCCACACATATCTTCATGTACAAGAAGGAACAGCTAAAATAAAACAAATTTCAGCAAAACACCCATTTTGCAAAATGTATTTCAAACCTACAAATATTTAGTTCATGTGAGAAAAATGATCTAAAGAAAAACTCATCGTAAAAATATTGTCATTCTCCTTTCAATTTTTCTTCAGCATTTTTCTTACCTGATTGTTTTAAGTGTTTGTACATTTTTAACTTGGCATTGGAGCTCCTAATTAGTACATTTTTTTATCAGGTATTCTTTGCTAACTCTGCTTTTAAAGCAATTAGGAAGAGCCTCATTCCCCTGTTCCATATTTTGGTGTTAGATTTTATCTGTGCAGTATTGTGATGATAAGAATAATGTTCCTTTCTGAGGTTTATTTCTTGCTGCTTCTGTTTTTATCTGTGTTCTAACGTATGTTGTAAGATGAGAAAGTGTATCTTTCATGGCAGCCAAAGATACAGCAATAAAATAATGGGGGATGAATACGTTTCTCTAATTAACTTACTTATTATCAAGTGCTTTAATGTTTACGTTACACAGGTGATGTGGATAAGTAACACCATCCTAGATGAAAACATATTCATCAATAATACCAAAAGAGTTAAGCTCTGAATTCTCAGAACCACCAAGCTCAGAAGTGGTTCTGGCCTTGTTCTGATGCTTGAAGTTTATAAACATACATTTTTTTTTCACCTAAATATAGTGCTTGTAGGAATGATAATCCACCTGATGAAGTTCTATATGCAGGTGGAATTTCCCAAAAAGACTTATTACGAGTTCCCCAGTGTCCACAGGCAGTCAAAAGTAAATTAAGGGCATCTATGAAGTCTGCTAAAACAAGATTTTTACTGCAGTCCTAATTTTCATGCTGTAGGCAGACAAACAAAGCCAGGTAAATGCCTTTATTAGAGGTCTTGTGATAAACAATCAAACAGGAACATTTGGTAGATACAGACCTGAATCTGATTTGAATTGAGGACCTAAAATCCTTCTTGGACAATCTGTCCCATTACCAATCTCTGAAGCATTTGACTCCTTAATGTGTTATTCCTTTGCAGTTTTACTGTGAACTGGATTATCACCAATCACTGGTATGTGCAGCCTCACCCTGTGCACTGACCTGTATTTTCAATACATCATCACACATCCACACAATAAATATCCCCCAGTATGTGCAGACTGTAGAAGTTCTGTAGGGGGTGACTCACCTTCAGCAGCAGCTCCGTGTTTAAACCCTGTTTAAACATTAGGGTTTGCATGGTGCCCTCCCAAACCAACAGCTGGGGCAAAAAAGATGGTTTTCTTAAGAATGAGCAACAGTTATCTGTACACAGACAGTTAAATTATTAAACATGGGATGAGCCTTCTTTTAGGTGGCCTATGGCCAGCCAGGGATTCTCAGAGATCACTCAGTGACTCAGTAAAGCCACTAAAAGTGACAAGATGCTAAAACACTAATGGTTTATATTCTGACCTTTTCTACTCTTTATCTTTTTGTCTGTTTTTTTAATCATGTAACCTCTTAGGGAAGGAAATATTGCTTTCTTTTATGTTGGGAAATTGCCCAGAACGTTGCAGACACTACCCAAACAAGGAGTAACTATAATAATAACAAAAAGAGGAGGAGGAGGAGGTTTATTTGACCCCACACCAGTCCCCTAAAGGTTCCTGTCAAACTCGATGGAATTGTAACCTGGCTTGTTGCTTCAGCAAAATTGCCTGTAGCTAATTGCAGCAATATAATTATTGCTATCAGAATTTCCAGCAGAAAGGAGCATTGCTGTGCAATCAAGAGATAACTGAACTGGGTTTTGGAGAGTGTCAGATATGATAGTGAATGCAGCCACTTAAAAATATGTAAATGCATACCTGTTGTGTGGTCCTGAGATGGAGTTAAAGAGATCTCGAGTCTCCTGTCAGCTCTGCTCCTGACTTCATAATCTCCACTGTGGCCCTGGCAGATCAATCTCACCCTCTGTAAGGCAGAGATAATGGTTTTGCTGTTGGAGCATTTGGGTACAAACAAATCAAATGCTACACAAGAGTTCAGTGCCATTAACACACTTTTTCTGCACTGAGCAAGGTCTCAGAGCAAAACCTCTCCCTGGGGTAGTTTTCCCTGCAGTGTGCCCTCTGCCAGTCCCCACCAACACATCCTAAGCACGGTGTGATAAAAAGGCCAATGTAATGAAATCAACTCTGCAAACACCTCATTTCCCTCAGATTTAATTATGATGAATCTTCTCTACTGTGATAACATTTTTTAACCTTTATAATTTCACAAAGTGCTCGTACCAGATTCTGTTGGTCCCTCATATTTCATGACATGGAGTCCCATTTATCTCCCATCTCTGAAATACGGCCTGAGCATGACATTTCAATTTTAGAAACTTGCAGTACCACACCAGGAACGTTGCCTTCCTGTGTCATTAATACCAACATTATGATTCAGACCCACGGCTCCTAAATATTTCTTTTAGGTTAATTTATTGCAGCAATAAACCAATTTCTCTGCTCCTCTCTGCTGTTTTGTACAGAAGTGCAAAGATTTGAAAAGCATATCAAAACTTCTGCTATCCTTAAAATTCCTGGAATATTTCCACGATCTCACACAAGTGATTTTGACCTCGGCCTTGTGACTACTGGTGGGGCAACCCACTGGGGTTTGTTTGGTCTTTGGTGGGTATTTGGTGTATCAGATGGTAAAATGATCATTTCTACAGTTGCTAGAATCTCTCTTCCTTAATTAATTCCTTAATTCTATGTTACATAGAAAATGTGTACTATAAAAGAACATGGTGTCTGCCAAAAAAAGTAGCTGTAGATAGACAGATAGATAGATAGATAGATAGATAGATAGATAGATAGATAGATAAAGAAATAATGTGTATTAAATAAGCAACTCCTGTTTACAAAAATCGCCATAAAAGAACAAATGGATGCAAAGGTGTCCTTGCCCAAGGCTGTATTTGCAGCTCTGTCTGTGGATCTGTGGATCTTTGTCCCCTCCTGCTCCCCACAGAACTTTTCCTGGGCAAACTGTCTGCAGTTCCCTGCTCTGGTGTGGTTTCAGTTCAGGCCCTGGGAAAAGGAGCTCTGACTCCACAGGACTGTCACTCCCACCACCCAGCTTTCGGTTTCATTTCTGAGTCTGGACGGTGATGACAACAAACATTTTAAAATTCACAGAAACTGAGGGAAACTTCATTTGTTGTATTTGATAGTTTTCTCAGTGAAAAATGCTCAAATTTCAAGAACGTCTCAGACACTGCATTATTAATGTCAACAATTCCAAACGCCCATATGCAGAAAATTTGAGAACAAGTTTCTTATATCAGATCAAAATCACTCAAAACTTCTCCAGTTGGTGCTGATTCAGACCATATCCATATGCATGGACTTGAGCTTTTGAAATACCGCTTTTTATTACAGATTGTGAACTTATAAGACAATCAAGATTAGTACAATAATAATAATAATAATAATAATAATAATAATAATAATAATAATAATTTTTTTAAATTCTGAAACCTTTAGTTAAGAAAATGTAGTTGAATCCAGAATTAATCCCTTTGTATTGAGCATGTCAGTGGGAATTTACTCTTAGTAAAGTTGTTATCAAAAGGAGCTGGAAAAACTGGTTTTAAAACTGGGGGAAACCAGTGGGTTTTTATTTCCCTAAAGACTCTCTAAATAGAAGGTTTGATGAAGCGGAGGTTAGTTAATGACTGCAAAAAACATCTTTCAAGAAAATACTGAGTCTATGATGAAATTCCAGGGAATTTTGCTGCTTTTCTTGGGAGCCTGTTTGGTTATTCCACACATACAAGTAGAAAAAGCTGCATTTCCAGGGATTTCAGAGCCTGTCCCCTCGGCACACTCTCTTTAAGCACAGTTAATGCATGAAAGAACATAGCTCTTTGCATTGCCTTCATATTTAAGGCTGTTGCAAACAACCAAATTAAATACATTTGCAACAAAAATACGTTAAGAATTATTTTAAGTCTGTAAATACAAGCACTCAAAAAGTACAGAATGCCAGAAAATGGGAGAAATCTAGAAAACAAAGATTGCTCTTCATGCTGGATTTGTTTCTAATCCCATCTATTGTATCCACTCCTACCCATAAAAAAAAAAAAATGTATAATTTATGGGAACATCTCTAACCTTAAGGTCATCCTACAGGAATGCCATTATGTGGAACCCTGTACCAGTGTTGCCAGCAGTGCCTCTCTGTGCTCTCAGCCTGCCTCCTGCAACCAAGAGTCCCAGGAACAAGATTTGGAAGCTGAAATCTCTTTACAGGAGAAAAGCTGCTTTTCCAGCCCTTTCTCCGAACGTTCAATGTAACTGGCAGAGCATCAGCAATAAGAAGACAACTGCTTGACGCAAACCCCCAGAGGAACAGAGCGGCTTTTGTTCCCAGAGCTCATCAAAATCTTGGAAATCTGGCAATGGGAAAGGTTGCTGGAATGCAGGTTCTCATTCAGAGCCCTGCCATGTCAGGCCTGTGAGATCTGCAGTCTCTTACCTGCTGCAGGAATTATTGCACAGCACCCCGTGTGCTGCCTGCAGCTGAAACAGGGCTACAGACAACTACTGGAAATTTCCTTGATACAGAAACAATATATTTGATCCTCTATTAATGCATCATTTTCAAAAAAAAAAAAAAAAAGAAAGATTTGACTGTGAAGTTTGCTTTAGTTGCATGCTTATCCTCTCCCAGATCTGTTTCTGAGGGTGCATTGTCAGGTAACTCGAGCTCTCCAGACCTGAGTTACTCCCTCCTGATCAGAGTGGTGGCTCAGAGCAGACACCCCTCCATAAACCCCCTGAGCTGCTGTGCTCCTGCTCACCCTGCAGCCACTCACACGTCATGCCAAGACTTCTGGGGATGGATCTCACAGACAGATGTGTTCCCCAAGGAAGCAGGTTGGTTTTTACCAGATGCCTCTTATGCCTTTGAAAAACAGAGGTAAAAAAAAATCACACAGCTTTTTGGAGAGAGAAAACATTATTTTAACAAAGATTTCTCTGACAGAGAATTGATTGTGTTATATTTGGTTCTACTTTTGTTCAAGAGGAAAAAAAAATCTCTAATATAGATTACACCAAGAAATACTCAGCTCAAGGGATAAGTCCACATCAGTTTTCATTTAAAGTTGAAAGGAAACACAGAAAAGCCTTGAGGTAAGAACCAGAAAAGCACCAGAGCGCAGGAAGTTTCGGATCAACTGGTGGGACCAACTGCTTTTTGATTGTGTCAGTGAACAGAAGACACTCACCAGGAACCACAGAAACTGGGGTGCCATCTGTGGCAGGGTGATGGCATTTTCTCCTCTCCTCTGACACCACATTAAGGCTTTATTTTCAGAGATGAGCCAGGCCTGTGGGTCTGTAATTGTCAAGTGAAGGGAAGTAGAACCTGTTCACAGCAGCTTTCTTTCCCTTTCAAACCTCTGCTGTCAGAATGCACCTCCTTTTAGGAAGACAGTAGGTTTAAGTTTTGCTAAAAATGACAATTATTAGTTTGTATGTTTATAAAATCCAGTGTATCACCTATGTCCTTGCAAGATGTTGCTCATCTCTTTTCCATTTAACTTTGCTCTCTCATTTTTAATGAGAGTTACAACCCCTTAAGTTAGAAATGTCAGACCTGAGCCCTCCCTCCTGAGGGGTGGTTTGCTGTGTTCTCGTTCCAGAGTGTTCCTAAAACAGTCACTGGCCACATGTGGGGTGGGCTTCCCAAAAAGGTAACACGAGCTGTTTATGAACATCACACTCCAGCGTGTTCTTATGGACCTCTCAGGGACACCAACAGGGGGACACCACAAACAAAAGGAAACGTTGGTGGGTCTCAGTTCTACCCAGAAATTCCTCTGACAACAGAGATGTATTTAGGAATTACTGGACGCCCAGAAAACATGTTGGTCTAACGTGCAGCTCCTTCTGCTTTCAGAATGAAATGGTAATTTGGAGGGGACTTTTCAGGATGGAGGGGGAGGAGCAGGGGGTGGTTATTGTGGAGCTGCAGTTGAGTAGTCATTGGCAGTGGTTATTGCTGCTTTACAAAGAAATCACGGCAACTGCAGCGAGAGGAGAAGGAAAACTACTCAAAAACTCGATTTCACTTTCTGTTCACCACACTCGTACCTACAACACTGATTCACCGATTTCAGCTTCATTGTTGTTTCAGAAGCACTCCAGTGATGCCAACTGGTGTAAGCACGAGCTTTCAGTCAAACCCGGAGAGAGGAACATTGTATAACCAAAAGTCAGTTAAACAGTCCCCAAATTAACCGGTGCTGTGCAGCCCGAGGCTATAAAAAGTCTCGACTGGGCCAGCAAACTTCCCAACATCCTGCCCATCTCCCTGCGGCAGGGAGCCCTTGTGTGAGGCTCATTGTTACACAAAGCAGCTACTTCAGCAAAGGGATCACTGCGGGAATTTAAGCTTTATTTGAGAGGATTATCAGAAGTCGTTTTTTTGATGTTTCTTAATTTTCAGGGTTTAAGAGAAGAGATACTCCCCCACGGTCCAGTTCATGGAGCTATATTCTGAATTCATTGCTTGGCATGTCAGCCCTGCTCTGTTTGTTGCTCCTCATTATTTTTTAATTCATTTCTGGTTTTGAGGGAATGTCCATGTTTCTGTTTAATGAGAAACCTCAGCATTTTCCCCTAACCCACTGATGGGTGATTCCCTTTGCAAGCAACAACAGATGGGCACTGTTAACTCCAAACTCCCTCAGTTTGGACATATACAGTAAAAAAAAAGGGGGGGGGGGGTTCTACCCAAGTTACAAATTTATTCCCTCTTAGCTCGAGGACTTATTCCAAGTAAATATTTCTTCTGACCTCAGACACAGGTATTTCTATTTGGATTGCAGACATTCTATACTAAAACCATAATCAAAGCTCAAGTGAAAGGTATGTATGTCCTGTCAATGAATTCATGGTTATA